GTAATTAACATTGCATACTTTACACTTCATTAACGCAAAAAAGGTATTATTCTGTCGATAGTATAAATCTTATTTTATGAACTTTTCTCACGTTAATACTTCATAATATATTTTCCTGTACCGGAATCGTAAAGTCAGAGTTCCGTAATATTTCTCGCGTGCATTATTATTATTATCTTCTCGGAGCTTATGCCGAGATGGGATCTTCAGTGTGTCGGCACGACTATAGCCGCCGGACATCGATGATGCTGTATTATAATAGTGGAAAATAAATTGAAATTGTGGAGAAAAATGAAAAAATAAAATACAGCTGAGATTGAATCACGAATCGTGGGTATAAAAATAATTTGCAAGATAATGCGACCACATCAGTTTATAATGCGTTGGGTTTATTAAGTTACTACTAGTTTTAGTTACGCCAAGAAAAACGCTCAACTCACTAGACCCATGTGTAGACATGTCATTGGTTATTTCCGTATATGAAAATATTATTGCCAACAAAACATTAGAATCATTAGAATTTTACATATGTGCTTTCAATCTCCGACTGTTTTGTAATATATTATTACTTTAAAATATCATTAACTCGATTATTACAACGAAATTATCTTCTTTGTTTTCAAGAATATAATTTAAAAAAATCGCAGTTAGTAATCTCATATAACAGCAGTTTTGTCGTTTTAATGACTTTTTCTCAATTTTCCATTTGTTTGAACTCCTGAGACTAGTATTTTAATCAATTGTTCAGTTTAATAAGCAATCTTTTCGATTTATGCCGATACAGTTGTAATATAATTATGTCCAAGAAAAATAATCTAAGAATTTCCAAAAAAAAGTAAACATTAATCATTTTATGTTATACTTGAAATTTGTCGAATTAGTGATGATGTAGTTTGCGATTTATTACTTAAAGTAAAACAGCATCTTCCTCTACGAACTATTAAGATGTTATCGGTACCTAATGAACTAACTCAAACTAACATATTAATGTGAGTAATTATAATAGTCCAGAGATTTCGTTTCAATTCAGAGTGTTTTCTTGAACTTGCTATTTAATAGCAACCAATTTGAGATAGTAAACATTTCTACAGTTAAGTATAAATATTATAATTAGAAAATATTTTTTTTGGAAAAAATGTTTCTGTAGATACTGGACAATTTTTAAGCATTTGCTCGGGGTGTATGCTTTTGTGTGATACGTCCATACAATAAACTTATAAATTATAACTGTATTTTTGTCATAAGATCTATTAACACGTCATGGGCTGCACGCAGAAGAATAAAACGTTTAGTTATCGTGTGAAGCAAAATTGGCAGACAAAAACTATTCTCATGTTCATCCCGACATCGAATAGACGCACATATAATAAGTATATGTAGTTCTATAATCATACATATACATTTAAGTACTTGCCGTACTCTGTCACTGGTATACCGTTGCTTTAAATACTAAAAAGTATAAAACAGTAGCCTGCTTATATGTTCAATACGTGTGACCACTACTACCAAAAAAAAAAAAAAAAAAACCGTCACGAATCACACCATGCGCGCAAATGGACAATATTAATGTGTAGGGATAAAATATGTAGATCACTGGAGGTATTCTCGAGTTTGAATTCCACGGAGTCTGCTAGGCTTAACCACGGGAAACAGAATACCATCTGTTCCAAGTCGTCGAACACAGATGACCTCGTCAAATTAAAACAGCGCCAACGGTATTGAACTACGTGCCCCTGGTTTTTTTGGTTCTGCCCTGCTGCGAATGCCACGGTGGCGGCTATCGAGAAAATCTAATTAAATCAACACGACGACGAATATCTTTCGATTTTGCTTTTTTTTTTTTTATTGTTCACTTTTTTTGTATATGACCCGTTTTTCCATGCATCGAATGTGACAATCGATCGTTGAAATATAAAAAAAAATTGATATATCCGATGTTATTGGATAGCACGTATAGTTTGTATGCATGAACTCGATTTCCGATTCGAAAAGATCATATTTAAATAAAATGTGTCATTAATTTCCATCCCTGAAAATCGAACCGCCACGATTTTGATTTTTACGAGATTAGCTGTTTTTTTTTTAACTTAATTGAATTTCATAGAAACCATTTCCATGGTTTACATGTATGTATATATCCTGTGGTGTTTTTGCAAAAAAAAAGAACCTTTTTTTATTTTAGGGTACACGTTGATTTGTGATTGTATTCTTTTAATATAAATAGTACATTAGTATAATTTTTTTAGGATATACGTTAGTTATAAAATTGTTATTAAGTATACGCCATATACCTCTGAAAACACCACTGTATATATCATTAGAATTGTGAAGAGTCAAATGTGTACTGTTAAAAATAAAAAGTTAAGTCATGTTCAAACATAGGTCAGTTTCAGAGTTAGCTTATAAAGTCTTATACAATTTTATTAGTTCAAAAATGTTTCAAATCAAATATATTTTTTAGATGCTTTTCAGTTTAACGTTCAGTAAAATTAGGTCTTTCTCGGCCAGATTAATGGTATTGATGTCTAATGTAAAACAATGTATTGTAAATGAGCGGTCAGATCTACCATCATTCATGATTATTAAATGTTATAAGAAAAAATTAACCGTATCAAATATAACAGAAAAAACTGTGTGGTTTTTTTATTTCTTAATTTTATTTTCTATCCATCTATTTCCTTCTGGCTACAATGTAGAAATATTCATTATTCAGGTCAACTTCATAGATCCACAGAAGAAATCATAAAAGAAAAAACATTGAAAAATAGTCATTTTAAAATTTAAAACTACATTTAATGTAGTTCAAGTTTTCGCAACGGCGAATAAATTACTACATTATATAACGCATAAGGTTAAATAGAGTCTGATATTTTTTTAATTAAATACTTGGTAAACACACTTTATGCATGTCTACTCGTGATTTGACATCGCTGTAGTAGGATGGGTATAGAACTATATTTATTGCTTTTTCTGTGACACATTTATGAAACGTTAATTGTGCCGTACAATTGTATTCATGATATAAAAAAATATTATTGCTGTTTATCGTCGTTAATATCATGGAAGTAACTGCACTTTAATTTTTTTTGCTCATCAAAAAGATAGGGTCATTTAATAAAACCGTATATGGTATTTAAACTCTTCAACATGACACTTTAAGCTACACATGTATTTAGTGGCTTGATGCACCGACCCAGTTCCGTGAGTTTCACGTCCCGTCGACAAAGTGCAAAAAAATAAAACCAGCCCGTGTACAATTATGTCCAATAAACTCAAACTTAATTGCTGTTATTATTTACATTTTCTACGCACTTGGGTAAAAACGACGTTACGGTTCTAAAACTACGCTTTGAAGAATGCCCACGACGTTCAAGTGACTTGCTTTTGTTGACTTTAGTGAGTAGGTACGATTTTAAAAGGATTTAAACACAATAATAATATATTATTGGATTTAACGGTAATCGAGTATTATTCATCAGAGTTCGTTTTAAACACGAGCCTAATGAAACAGGGTAAAATATGATATTATAAATATGATTTTTAATTCACGCTTGCATTAACCATCAACCTCATGACACACTCCGTTATATTCATCCGTCTTGGACACCGTCAATGGCTATTATAATATTTTACATGTGCATCTTTAATCTTTTCTTTGATCACTGTAATTTACTCATTCATCATACCCGCCAACATCCGCTAAGACGAATCCGTCGTCGGTGTAATTGTAGTACCTCTTCATTTGAATCAATGAGTTTTTTATGTATAATTTTCTTCATATATTTTTGCTCATCCGACCAGCAAACACAATTAATCACATGAAAACGTTACAAAACGATTTTGTTTATAATTTGCCGCAAGTTCAACTTAATAACATCGTCGAAAATCGGCGTGTTAAGATTAAATCTTAATTTCAAATTTTGAAATTGTTAAAAAATAATATTTTTTCACCGTGAAACGCGTAACGTTTAATGTAAAACAGTATCTTTACTGAACGTTAGTTATTTATTTATTACTAAAACGTAATTGATAATGTACTTTTTAGGATTTATATAATGTTTAGGTGTGTAATATAACATTTACCAATATGACGAGCAGTATCACTGTGACTTTGATAGTAAACAGTAAAACATCGACTTGGATTCTGAGTTCGATGCTCTTTAAATCTCCGTTAAAATTGTATTATTAGTAAATATAAAGTATACACGAAATTTTCATTTTTGTTGATATATTAATGAAAATGTACGAAAACATATATCCATAAAAAATTATCGTGAATCTATTGTTCTTTTAAATATTGATTCGATTTTTTTAAATAATAACATATACTATGTGTTTGTTTAAAGTGAACTACACTGAAAAGACGCCATAAAAATTTATGTGACTTGTGTAGACGATTGTTAATAGGAAAACGGACATAACAAAATGACATGCAGCCGTCAATTTACCGAAAGATAGTTCTATGAACTCACCGTAACGATTCGCTGCAATTTATACAGTTTCTGTACGAAAGACATTCCACATACATGTTTTTATACATAAACGTGATAACCAGGAGAAGTCGTGTAGGAACAACGGATAAAAAATAATAGCGATAGAAAAAAAGCAATAAGTAATAATAGTGCAGTTTTTAACACATGTACATCATTGTCGGTCTTCCGTAATTCAAATCACCGTCGCTATTTTCTTTTTTTTTTTACTTCGATCTGTCGCAGACAGGAAATTAGACCTTAATAAGCAAAGTGTTGTATACTTTATTACCGTTTCTAACGCAACCTTAGTCGAAAATATGTCGTATATGGTTCTTAAAGTTGACAAAAAATAAATAAACTGCTATTCATCACAGTTAACCAAATGTTTTCCATAGAAAATACATTTTTCTCTGAATAAATTTGGAATACTTTAGTCTAAAACGTTTTCAAACCATTTTAGTGTTCATATCAACTTTATCTTTCATTTTTATAGTGTAATAAATAACGTAATTTGTTTTTTTGTTTCAGGAATCAGTTGAATATGTCAACTACCGGTAGTTTATGGCGGAGATGGCTGATCACTGTGTTATTTTTTACTAATACTGTAGGCATATTAGGTAAGTTCACTAATTAGGAAAATAGAAAACTCAAATTATTCTTATGTATGAAAATAGTAGATAGGTAACTACCAGATATGAAAATCTTAATTAAGTTTAGCCTATAAGAATAATAAAAACAAAATATTCATGCTATCATCAAATGTAATAACTAAAGAAAACGATAATCATTTTTCAAGTAATTTGTCATCTGTGTTGGGAAGTAGTTATACGGTTAGCAAACTTAATTTAAACATGTCATATCCGTTTGTGTTTATAGTAAATCGACTTTTTGTGACTATAAGCCATTTATATTACTTCAAATAATTTTTATAAAATATGTTAGTACATTGGAATATTAAACTAGAATAATACATTTTCAACTTCAATAATTAGAAGACTCTGTAGTAAATTATTCATTTTTTGTTGGTTTTGAAACATTTTCTAACGTATGTAACTTCTCACCTTACAATATTATATTGAGCTATATACATTACTTTAATATAGACTCAGTAGCAAATGTAACTGTTGTACATTACATTGTCGCGTTATTTTATGAGCTATTGTTATTATATGGGTAGCGGTGGCGACGGTCAAGCTGTTATGGGTCGTATCATAACATAATACATTAATTAAAAAGTTCTCAATAGTTGTGTGTGTAATATGACGTGTGAAACATGCTGCGAAAAAGAATATTGCCGAGAAGAAGAAACGAATCCCAAATACCTTGTACTGTAATAATTGTGCTTATTACCGGCGACAACTGTATCCATAGTACAGTTGTCATGTATTGAATGCGCGAATAAATGACAGTAGGACGACACGAAGAGATCGAACTGCGATCGATGAAATAACATTGCTTTTGATTTTTTTGCCATCTATTGCTATTGTTGTACAATTCGAGAGTAATGATTTGTATGGAAGGCGTAACATTGAGATTCGTCCTGACGAGTTATTTAGAGCCGCCCTTTAGATTTATAATGCATAAAAAAATAAATACTATTATGGAGGATTGTATTATCGTGATTACTGCAAAAGATTTGTAAAAACTAGGTGATGAGATGATTATAATGTTTGTTGATGACTTTATAACGGGAAATAATTTGTGTGTGGATGAATACATGCGCACATTATTTGAATGTATGTTCTAATGGCATGCACGTGGGAAACGATTACCTCAGAAACAAACACGAATTCCGAACAATCACTTGTTTCTTGAAAAGAAGGCCCTTCAATTAGAACGCACATGGTGGGTGGATTCAATTATTATATTTTTTCTAATATAATATAGAACTGTTATTTTTAAACAGAAAGTCAGTATTATTAACCTTCTATGCAATCTCAATCTAATCGCAGTGGTCTATTTTCCTAAATTAAGATATTTTTATGACTTATTGTCAGGGCATAGATACTCGTTTCCCGTTTGTTTTATTTTATTTTTCTGAAATCTTTGCATAAAAATACTCATAATTTTAGTTTTAATTAAAAACGGCCAACCCCATTTTCAAATAATAACAAAACAGTCTAGTTTTAGAAGTATTGTCTAATAATAATTTGGGTATACTTGTGTTACAGGCAAAGATTTACATTAAATTTTGTTGTATTAATTCCAGAATACCAATTTTAATATGTATATTTTTATAAAAATTAGTCTAATGCATAGGTTTTATTTATTGGAATGAAAAATTTACAAGTTGGTGTTACACAGCATTTTAGAGTATTCTTAGATGGATATTACATGATACTTCAACAATACATGTATCCATAAAAAAAATTATCTATATTCTTGAGAACAAAACGCTGTAATTCAAATGATAGGTATCATGAACAGCTGTTCTTCTAACACCCATCGACTAAGGCACTTGAATTTCGCATCGGTCAATGCTTTATTTTTCTTTGCAGTTCTACTGAATCGGTTTTAGGCAAACGACGGCCAAAAAGATTATACAAAATCTTACATTATGTTATTTTTTATACAGTTTTATTTTTTTATTGAAATGGATTTTTAACGAAGATCAGTGAAAAAACATCAAAAACAATTTATCACTCAGTGAGGTAATCGAACTCATTATAGTGGTTAACCATTTATGCATGTCCTAATATCAAACAAAAGTCTAATTTTATTTTTACTTTATAAAATAATAATTTCTTTTCTTTTTTTGCAATCGTGTATTAGATAAAACAATTAATAAACAAAAATGTAAATAAATTTATTTATAATTAAAAATAAAACACTTTGAAATGATATATATATTTTTAAGGTATGATTCTGCTTATTTACTTGTTTTCTGTAAGAATCGTTCAGAGTTTGTGATCATTACGGTTCGATTAGACTCAGTGTAGTTTGTCTGATTATTTACAAATATTATAATTACCATAACAGAACGAGTTTTATACATTTTAATAGATATTTTAGTATAAAAAGCTATGTACAAATAGTTTTATCGGTCACACTTGACCATGTTTCATAATCTATATTGTTAATTGTTTGAATTCAGTTCAACGGTATCGAATTTTTTGATAGGTTTAATATCATTGAATTTAATGATTTTATAGAAATAATATGCATACTATCTAAATGAACAGAAAAAAAAATTAAGAGGGAAACAACCGTTAATATTAATGTTTAGCATAATTTGAATATATTAATATAAATCTTGAAAATCAAAGTAAGAAACTTGTTGTATAAAATGAATACACGTAAATACAGTTTACATTTAATGGTTTTCAAAAATTTAACAACTAATTTGCACAGATTAAATATTAAGCATAATATTTTGATTAAGAGTTAATTATTTCATAGTAATTTAAGTTACAGATTTCTTGAGTGTTATTTCTCAGAATGATTTTTTTAATTTCAATTAATAAATTTTACTACCACCCTACCAAAAAATATTACAATATTGTTGTTACTAAGTATTCATTCTACCTCATACAAGGTGATTTTGTAACTACAAATATTTTTAAAATATGATAACTAATCTTTTTTTTATAATAATAAACATTTTATGTTGTGCAACTCGACGAGTAAAATTAAATGTCTACTATCATTCCTTATGTTTTAAATTATGGTCAACTTATTTTTTTTAATGTCATTTTTTTTTACTTAATGGTTTCATTGTATTATCAAAAGAATCAAAGTATTATTTAATACTTTATTAGTAATTACTATATAAAGTAATTATGATGTTAACATAAAATAATCTTTAAAACAAAATTTTTGCTGACCTAAAATATTATATGTTATATTGAAGCATACGTTGGGCTAGTTATAATTATTCGTATTTTTTATATGGTATGAATATTTTTCACTTATGCAAAAAAACGCTGTAAACAGACAGGCGAGTTTTACAACACTTAAGAATTAAATAAACACGTACAACGTACTTCAATTTCGCACACGTCATTAAATTGTATTTATAATTTATAAAATGAAAAAAGTTGTCAGTGGCGAGCAATTGATGTCCGTTTAGCATTAACTTGTCTGCTAAAAAGCAATTTTCTTTGATATTTATATATATATATATATATACGAAATTATAATAAATTAAAATAGAAATACCGTAAACAAATTAATATAAATATTTTATTGGCTTAGAACTATAAACTTGTCGAAAAACATAATTTATGTATTAAAAGATAAAGAGGAACCACGAAAAGTGTTTAATTCATTCCTTACTTAAAATATTTTTATGTATAATAATATTATAGGAAAATAGATTTTACTAAATTAAGTCATTTTCAGAATAAAGGGGTCATTTACTTTCAGGGTTTTGTAATTTTTACTTGAAGAAAATAGGAATTGATATAAAAACATATTTAGTACATATCTAACATGCATTTATGTTTAATGAACACATTATAAATAGAAATGCTGTTTTTGCTTTGAAATTGAGTAAAATTTGATTGCTTTAGTGCGTTCACTACAACGTTAAACACGAAAATGTTTCTAGATCATAATAACAAATTACATTACTCTAGGTATTTTTGCAGTTAATTGTTATGTCAAGTTCATTATGCGTTCTATTTTTAATGCAACACAAACAATTTTATTAATTTAATACATTGAATTACTGTAGCTAAGAAAAAAGATTAAATTTAATTAGTTTGTAATAAACTATGTGTTTTAATGTGAACATAATGAACGCTAACCATACCGTTAAATGGGTTAATTCATGTTACTGAAATTTAAGATAATGAATCAATTATAGTTCGTTAGTAATAAAAAATTAGAACATGTTTGTTTTGGTTTATACCACTTCATCTAAGTGTTGTGAATTTATCTGACTTTAGTTAAATTATTCCAAGTTAAAGTCGTCAAACACAGAAGATAATAATCACTCTCCCGAAACGATTAAGTCGGTGTACTATGTCAAGATCACACTTGCGTAAAGCAGATCTAATTCCTTTGCTTTTCGTTTATTTTTACTTTAAAAAAGGTCTTTATAGCTTATTTTGAGTTGTTTTTTTTTGTCGTCAGTGACAAATTAGTTTGATTAATTAAATACACGAACTTCAGTAAATAAGAATCAACGAACTCTAATGTGTGTGATGTAGTAAGGTTGGTTAGATTCAATAAGTACTTGGAGTAATTAAGATAATAACACGTCATGTATTTGTATTGCAATTTTCGGGTCAATATGTCATTAGCCCTTGGCGTCAATAATTATACGACTATCCTAATTTTCAATGAATAGGAAATTGATAATTTTATTTCTGAGTGACGACTCATTTACTTCATTTCTAGAATTTGTCCATAACTCACAAACTAATTTTACTTAATGTACCACAGGAACAAGCAAGATATTTTTTTAGAACTTTAACTAAAAAATACTAAATTAAATATCTTATGAGTGTATTTAATCATTATTTGAGTATCCGTTATTATCTAATCAAGCATAAAGAACAGAGAGTTCAAACGAGTATAATTTATTCAACTAGTTAATAGAATAATTAAATTAAAAGAGACATACCGTGTTTAGACAGTAATTTTTTAACGATTTCAAATAAATAATGGACCATGTGACGTTGGTCAATGTCTTTTATGTTTTAAATAACTATTTTCTTTATTGTAGGTCGTAGTGCATTTGAAAAACTCACTGAACTAGATTATAAAGGTACAACATATTACACAGTAAAAAATTTGACACTTTATGAATGTCAAGGATGGTGTAGAGAGGAACCAGAATGCCAAGCAGCATCGTTTAGGTAAAAAAAATTGTCATAAAATTAGAATAATTGTGTTTTATAAATACAATTTTAATAATTTTACATCTCACATTTTATAATAAAATTATTATTGCTAATGATAAGAAATTTCAAAATAGTGAAAATTTAACTAATAAATTTATTTATTTAAATTGCAGTTTTGTTTTAAATCCACTAACTCCAATACAAGAGACAGTTTGTCAGCTACAAAATGAAACTACTGCCAATAATCCGGCAGCAGTACCACAACGGTCTGTTAACATGTATTACATGGTGAAAATGCAAATAAGATCGGGTAAGTTATATTATGTATACAAATCTAGTACAAGTTAAAAAAAAAAGTAAACAAAGTATTGTGAAAAAATGTGATAAATGTAAAACTTAAAAGTAAAACTCCCATTATTTTGGATAAATTAAAGATTCTAACGGATCTTTTAAAATAAGTATTTATCAACGAATCCCTAAATCAGCTATATTAAGAAAATAACATTTTTCAAATTTTAAATTCAATTGTTTAAAAATAAATTTATTGATTTCTTCGACTATTGGTGTTTTATATGTTTTAATAACTTTTTACTTCAATTATTGTCTATTATTTTTACAGATAACGTATGTCTTAGACCTTGGGCATTCGAACGAGTTCCAAATAAAATGATTCGAGGCTTAGACAACGCGTTGATTTATACGTCCACAAAAGAAGCTTGTCTCGCTGCTTGTTTGAACGAAGTAAGTATTTTATATAAGTCCTTTATTTAATGAATTCAATATTAATTGTTTTAATAATCAAATTAACAGCATCGATTTGTTTGTCGTTCCGTGGAATACAATTACGTGACGTTACAATGCCATCTAAGTGATTCAGATAGGAGAACGACCGGCCAGTATGTTCAATTTGTCGAAGCGCAAGGTGTAGATTATTTTGAAAATCTTTGTATCAAAGGTAAATATAAAAATTTGAACTATAAAAACTTACACTAATTAAAAAATAATAATAATAAAACTAATTTATTATTATTAACGTTTTTAGGCAATCAAGCTTGTAAAGGAAATCGAGTGTTCCAAGTGCCTAGAATTGGTGTGGCCGATGATAAAGTAGCTCAATATGCTTCTTTGCATTACTATACCGATAAAGAATTGCAGGTAATTTTTAACACGTTTTATTTAGGAGTTGACTAATATATTTTTAAAACATATCTACTTATAAGTAATATCTACTTATCATACATTGAAAATTAATCATCGTGAATATTTTTTTATTGATTAAACATTTGAAATGATTATGTAAATCATTATACAACCGTACGAAACAGTTAACGTTACCTATTCCTCAATTGACTTTTTGAACTATTAATAAGTATTTCAAACATTAATAGGTGACAAGTGAAGCGGCTTGTCGTTTGGCTTGTGAAATAGAAAATGAATTCTTGTGTCGATCGTTCATTTATAAAGGTCCTCCTGTCGGTACAGCATACAACTGTGAACTCTTCCATTTGGACCATAAGACCTTGCCAGATGGACCAAGCACATATCTTAATGCCGAACGTCCGTTGATTGACGATGGCCAGAAAATAGGCAGTTATTATGAAAATTACTGTGAGAGTGAGTGTTTTACTACTGTTGTTTACTCTGGATTGATTGCTTTATAGATCATTATTAAATTAACTATTCTCTAATATATTTAATAATTTCTAAAAAATAAACGTATGACGTAATACAGGTGATTCCTTAATTATATTTTACAAAATATCATTAAAAACATTAGTTAGTCATAATTATTATCATTTAATAATAATGGTTCTTGGTTGAGCTCCTTTGCACAAAAAATGAATTTTCTACAATTATCCCTTATACCCTAAAGTCTTATCAAATTTCGATTTTCAAATGGTAACTCCAATTTTTTTTATATCATCAGATGTATTAAATTAAAAAAACTTGTTAAAATCGTTTTATATTATATGATTTTCAAGCAGTTACAGCTATTTGTGGGTGATCAGAAAAACACGTACTTATTTTTAAAAGACTGCATCCTTTTTCGGTTGTAAATCGATAATTGCTACTGGTTAATCGAAATACAATAAACTGTGCAACTATTCTTGTTATGTGAAAGGAATCACTATATATATAAAAAGTATTCAGAATAATTTTTTTACAATAATTGATTTTATTAATTATAATTTATTTATATTAAAATATATGGATATAAGATTTATTAAAAAGTAATATATTTTTTTAAAGAATCAACAACACCCCCACATGAACAGCTTCCAGTAGTTTTTGAAAGCACAGACGATCCGAATTTGAACTTGACTAGAACTGACTTAAATTGTGACAAAACTGGCACATGCTATGATGGTAAGTATTAACAACTTTTTATTGAAAACATTTATTTTTGGTAACGGATTACGATATTGATTTCTTGTAATTCAGATTCATAATGATAATCACCAACCAGTTTGTAACAATCTATTGCCCGAGCAGATTCATTCGGTTCTTTGAAAAAAAAAACCCCCGGCTTCAATAATAATTATTTTTTATATTGACAAAGACAATTAAAAAAAACCCAGCACAGGGGGGTCGCGGCACAGTGGTGACGTGGCATAGATGGATTAAGTATAATGATATCTGACAGTGATTAAAATCACTATCAAAAAGAAAAAACGCTTCGATGCAAATCTTTAGATAGTTTTTAATTTTAAAAAATTGGTGGATTATTCCAAAAGCTACATGATCTGCTAGTTCCTTATTAATATCCTGATTAAGATAAATTATGTCAAATGAAAAAAGGGATTATTAAAAAATATTCTTTCTCATAAAAAAATAACGTTGATCCATACATTTTTCAAATAGTTATAGCATAATAAAGTTAAAAATGTAAAATACAAAATCGAAAATTTTCACACAAAAATATCATTCGGTAGCCATTTTCACCGTAAAGATAAAATAAAGCCCAAATTTTTTTTTTTTTTCATGATAAAGTATATTACATTATCTTTAATTTAAGATATATATAAAAGTGTCAGACCTTCTGGAACATTTTCAAAAGTCAAGTTGAAAAAATTAATTTTTTGTGAAAAAGTTGTCATTTTAAATCCCCCCTTGTGAGCAAGTAAAGGGTCACATATAAAAAAAAAATTTACCAAATGAAAGTTAATGATATCATGCATCTATATAAAAAAAATTATATTAATTTGGTTATTTTTAAAAAAAGTATGGCAATTTTAAGTAAAAAAAAATTGAAAACATTTCGAAAATTAGCGATTTTTAAATTTGTATTTTTAGATTTTAAATTTTTTTGGAGGTTTCCCCCATTTACGGGGAACGAATAAATTTTTTTCAATTTTAGAGGGTAATGTCTTTGACTAGATACGATTTGTGATCTTTTGATGTATCATTGAAAGAAATCGGTTCGGTGAGAGCTGAGAAAAAGTGGTAACAGACACAAAAAAAAAAAAAAAAAAACAAATCATAGTAAAACCAATACCTTTTCAGCTTCGCATCGAAGCTAAAAATAAGTACACTGTGTTAAATTTAATAGGTTCTCAAGTTTTCATCGAAACTGTAATATTGTAATTTTTAATTGAAGTGTTTTTAAGTATTTATTTTAATAAAAAGATTTGAGCAGAATTTGTCATTTTAAATGAAAATAACGTACTTTTAAACTCAAATTTCTTTATGCTTAAGAAAACTTGTCAAAAAATAGCCTGGGTTTTTTATAAGATTTTCTATGCTAACACTAGTTGTCTATCGAATAACTGTAATTGAAAGTGACAGACTAGTTTATGGAGAGTACCGTACCATACTTAATAACTGTAGGAATTTTGAGAGAAGATAATATTCCAATTTTATACTTTGATGTATCTAGTTTTTAATAAACAAATATATTTTTAACGTTAGCGTGTTAGCACTAAAATGTTTAAGTGTCGAAATAATTAAAATTAAAAAAAACTATTTTAATTTGACCAAATAAATTTCGAGACTCGGTAAATTTAAATTTCATATTTGATATTCTCATGGGAACATATAATTACTTATAATTTTATCGTAAAAAATTGTATAAAACTTAAAATTAAATGTGCATTTTTAAATATTTCAGTATCTGTTCATTGTAAAGATACCAAAATAGCCGTACAAGTTCGAACCAACAAACCATTTAATGGCAGAATATATGCTTTGGGTAGATCAGAAACATGTAACATTGACGTACTGAATAGCGATCAGTTCCGACTTGACTTAACGATGGCTGGACAAGATTGTAATACTCAGTCAGTGGTAAGTGCACAAGTTACAGAACATACATTAAGAGTTTATAAAGAATATTAAAAATATAATTATATAGTGATAAAACTCCCGTTAACTAAATTAGTATACAGCATATTAAATTGTGAGACTTAATTTTTAAATTGCTATTTTATCGTTGTAAGGTACCATTTAACACTACGCAGTTCTTTGTTCTCTTTGAGTGTTTATATAATTTCTATTACAAAAAAATTTATATAATGAGAAAAATAAATAATCTTCATTATTTTGTTCATTCGCAGACTGGAGTGTTTTCTAACACTGTCGTTCTCCAACACCATAGCGTTGTAATGACAAAAGCTGATAAAATTTATAAAGTCAAATGTACATATGACATGTCGTCTAAGAATATAACGTTTGGAATGATGCCAATTAGGTAATACTTAAATTTTATGCACTTACACTGAATAATTGAATGAACAATATGCAATTACATTATGTTTGTTCGGCTAATTTAGAGACCCAGAAATGATAAGCATTACATCTGCTCCAGAAGCACCACCCCCAAGAATTCGTATTTTAGATTCTAGGGCTAGAGAAGTGGAAACTGTGCGTATTGGAGATAAACTGACGTTTAGAATCGAAATACCCGAAGACAGTTAGTATACAGCTAACTTTATTTTGGTCGTCCATGACATGTTTTATTTTATTTTTGCAGCGCCATACGGTATTTTTGCAAGAAGTTGTGTTGCTATGGCTAAGGACTCAAAAAGCACGTTCCAGATCATCGATGACGAAGGGTGCCCCGTGGATCCTACAATCTTTCCCGGATTTTCGCCTGAAGGCAATGCTCTGCAATCCATTTATGAAGCGTTCCGGTTCACCGAATCGTATGGTGTGATATTCCAATGTAACGTAAAATACTGTTTGGGCCCTTGCGAACCGGTAATAAATATTTGTATTATTTTATTTTTCGATTGTTGGACTAAATTTGGGTGCTAGATATTTTATGAATATACATTTTTTTTAAAAAGGTGGTAATTTTTATTTTAATTAATAATTTGACTAACAATACTTAAATTTTAACATTGATTCCAAATCACGAAGTGCACGCCACTGTATTGATTTCTAATTTAAAGAGTTCAATTTTACACTAGTAATAATAAAACAATTATAGTAAAAATGCATGAACTAGCTAGCATTTTTTTCTTAGAATATTATAATTTAAATATAAAAACCAATTTACTTTTGCGCAGGCTGTATGTGAGTATGGTAGAGACTCGATTGAATCTTGGGGCCGAAGAAAGAGGTCAGTGGCCGCTACCAATAATAATACTACGTCCGAAAACGGTGATGATATGACACAAATAAGCCAAGAAATATTAGTTTTAGATTTTGGCGATGAAAAACAATCGCAATTTTTAAAAAGTAGTGAGTCTTCATTTACAGATTTTAGTAAAGGTAAGAGTAACTACTTATGTTTGTAATATTTTTAATTAAAAATATCTACTGTAGTATTTAAGAGTTTTGATATTGATTTAGTATTTACTACAACAATATTCGCCTTGTGATGGTTCTTCAACTTACTCTTATTTTTTTTTTTTTTCCTATTGACTATATTAGTCTATAGGCCGATTTTTCGTAAAATTTTTAGGGGGACTAGAATAATCTAATATAGTAAGATGACTTGAGACTAAAATATTATAATAAAAAAAATATTCAATTGAATTACTGTACCTCCTGTTCATTACTAATGGATTTAAAAGTTAAAATAGAAAAGTTTGAACCAATATAATTTCTGAAGGAATTTTAGTTATTAACTAATTTGATTCTAATTAAACTTTACTCAAATTTATTATACAATAAAAAATAATTAATTATTAATTAAATTTTTTTTGAATTATACAATTTTAGACAAAACAATTACGATTGTGGAACCTTGTCCCACCAAAACATCTGTACTCGCATTGGGAATTACATGTATGCTACTCATTTTAATTTATGTCAGTACCATGTTTTGTTATTACATGAAGAAGTGGATGACTCCAAGAAAGATAATGGCGTAGTACTAATTAAGGCGAACAAATTAATCAATAATGAATAATCTAATACTTCTCTTAATGTAAAAAATACACCTATTTTTAGTAGATCAATTATTCCATTAGAGTATATAAAATGAAAATTTTACATTCAAAGTTTTATATATAAACGTTAGATACGATTTCATACTACAAGCATAACAATTTACCTACAGTTAAGTCATAAAGTATTTTATTTAATGATCAATTTATGTATTTTAATTATGGTAGCCCTTTAGTTTGAAAGCTCATCAAATTGAGATGTGTTATTTGATATAACTTATTTTTTATAAACAAAATGCACAAGTAATATTAGTATAAATTTAAAGACGTCTCAGAAATACTTTAATTTTGTATATATAAATCCTAATAGACGTTGTAAAATAAAATTAATTTTGTGCCTATTTATTTTGCACATATTTTTAGCACATATACTATTGGTCATCACATTTAATTATAATTATAACTTGTGTAATTATATGTGATACTTTACACTTGTGTGAGTTCAAAGCAAATACTTATCATGAAGATGAGAAACTTGATCAATTTTATAAAATAATCATTAAGGTAATTAGTAAAACAAGCTTTAGTAAAAATATTGAAATTTTAAATAAAATTAAGATTTTCCTCTTCTTGATAAGTATTGCTTTTTATTTTTGAGTAATGTAAAAAATTTTTGTGTATTTACTTTTATTAGGCGCTCTCTAATGGCCTAATTTTTTTAAGTGCAATTTTAATGGAAATATTTAGTTTATAATTAATGATATTATAGATAATTTATGAGTTTTAAATAGCCCTAGTATATTTTATTTATTGTAGTTTTATAATTGAAGAATTAAGTTCTTTACTCAATTTATTTATAAAAAAAATAAATAATATTTTGGAAAATAATTTTGTATGATTAATAAAATTTAATATTCAAATACAAAAACTATACTGTTTTACAATTTTATGTAGAATTTTTTATTATTTTTAAGAAGATTGTTGGATTTTAATATTTATAACTGCTAATATACTCTATAGTACATATCTTTATCAGAATACTGAGCCCTACTGTGGTGGACATTTCTCAGCTTCTTGAAGGAACAGAAAAATATATTGCATGAAGGGATAATCTTGTGAAAATCAGTGATCTAATTAAAGAAAACCTGTTAGAACACGGTTGAAAACAACGAGGCCTCATAGAAGATTGTTAGATAATTTAAAACTTTATTGCTAAGAATAAGGCATTTAATGATGAACCAAGGTAATAGTGGGTAAAACTTTATAATGTATCATAAAATAGCAAATTCAAAAAGTTTCTTCCGTGAGACCTAATAATCTGCATTTAGTATTAGCAGTAAATAAAAAATAAAAACATGGCATAAAATTTTATTAAAAAATTATATAAGAGGCTTTTATTTTATATTTATAGAAATTCATGTAGCCAAAGGATTTGCATGTATTGTTATATACTGAATTTTAATATCAGTTAATGGTTTAAAATTTTTAGCGTTCACTGGTAGTTTCTCAAGCTCATCCAATGTTTCATATCCATCAATTATTCTGAAAAAATAACAAAATTTGTTATTAAATGTACATATCAATTACATATACCAATGAAAAATTATCAAATACCTTCCAAAAATAGTATATTTAAGATCTAAATTTGGCTGAGCAGAATATGTGATAAAAAATTGGCTAGCATTAGTATTAGGTCCATTATTAGCCATTGATACTATGCCTCTTTCCTTATGCTGGAATCATTAAAATTGTATAAGATATTTTTATACACAGAGTAAATCACTTATTATGCACAAGTTAATTACTAAAAAAATTAATAAACTATTTTATACAACTAGCACAATATTTAGATTTCAAAAATTGCATAAATTTTATTACAAATTATTATTTTTACAAATTGTCATAATTTTGAAAAACAAATTTTTTTTTTGCATGAAAAAATAAAATTTTATAATCCTTAATATTTATTTAAATTCATTTTAAATTATGATATATTAATAAAATTATTAAGATTAGCTGTTTGTAAGCAGGTATACCTATCCTAATCAGTCTCGAAAATGGGAAATAACTGGCTGTATGATTAATGTCCGTAGGATTGTCATTTCTGTAATCCTTGAGGATATATTAAATTAAATTGAATTGATAATAGATATATAATAATATGTAATATTTGTTGCTATATTTTATAAAATCGTTAATCATTGAAAAAACAATTTTTTTCTAGAGATATATGAAAATTATTTATTTACTATGTATCATTATACTTTTTAGTTGTAGTATATTAATGGAAATTTAAGAATACAATTTAAACTAGTTATTAAGGCTAGATAGTTTTTAGATTCAGCAAAAAAATTAAACATCAATCAATAAATTAATATAGTACAATATATACTTTATTTAGTAAACATAATATGTTATATTAAGTAGTTAAAGAAAAAAATTACAAAGATAAAATATTTTTAGCAAGTCGCCTATTGCTGACTTCTGATATAAATTAAAAATAATTATATAATTTATTTGATCATGTTAAAGAAATATATTATTATTTTAATAATAATAATTCATGATATTAATTTATAGTAAAATTTATGCAGTTATAGGAAGCTAAGTATTGTTTTAGTTCAATAAAAGCAAAATACTAGTTAATATACTTTGTATAAAGCTCTATATTATACAATATTCTATTACTTATTATACCTTTAGATTTTCTTTAAATTCATCTTCAAATTTTCTGCCCCAAATTGATTGACCTCCTTTCCCTGTATTTGTAGGATCACCAGTTTGCACTATGAATCCTTTTATATTTCGATGAAAAAGAGATCCATTATAATAATCACTAGCACATAGTGCTAAAAAATTCTAAACAATGTAAAAAGTTATATTAGACATGAGAAAGGCTGAAATAAAATAAATAATACTTCAGCTGTTTTAGGGCATTCTTCACAAAAAATTTCAATTTTTATATCACCAATGTCAGTATGTAATGTAACAGACTGAAAATAGGAAAATAAAATAAAATTATGACTATTAATAAAAATATACTATACATATATACATTATGCATTAAGTATATATATATATATGTTGTAAGCTATAAATATATTTATAATCTTTGTCATTGGGTATGAAATATAAGGATAAATTGTTTATAAATCTCACTTATATTTCTTACTAAGATATTAATATAGTACAAGTCTTTATTAGGATAAAAAACCAAAGTTAGAACTCATAACCTCTACTAATAATATTATAAATAAAACTTAACAGAAAGACAGTGAGACAAAGTCAATAAGTTGGGCTATACTTTGCAGTATCATAAATTGAGTACTGATGAGGCTATATATTATCTCCCCATAGGTTATTCTATACCTAATAATTTTTATAAACAGTGTATGATTTTAGCAATAATTACAAGAAAAGGGCTGAGCCCACTACATTGAAAAATCTTATGTATGTTCATTGATTTTTGGTAAAAATTATTACTGGGTAAATACTTAGAAGCATATGGCTTCATTCATAGGATAACAATCAATTTAGTAATTTGACACAATTTTTCTTTATAAACTATTCAATTTATTGCAGAATAGAATAAAATATAATAGGTAAAGGCATTTAATTATTGTAGAATAGAACTACAAATATTACACTGAAAGTCCACTGAGAGTGGACTTTCCATTATAGGTTTTATAATATTGGACTTTATTTGTAAGTAAGTCCTGGGGTCTATGTCTCTTGTCCATCAGGATTTTGTAGCATTACATTTAACTAGAAATGATAGGGTAAAATAGAAGCTAAATTCAAAAATAAACTAAAGACTTACTAAAATATTAAAACAAAAAAAATTGTGTTACCTCTTGTAACTTTTTTAAACATTATTAAAAGAAAAATTTATTTATTAAGTTTTATCCAAATAAAATTACCATAATTTATTGTATTTTTCTTTCTTATAATTTTTAATTTGTCTATTTAAAATTAATAAATATAAAATAAACGATTATTGATACTTTATAATACAGAATTTAATAAACAAAATTTTTATTAAAATAATTATTAAACAAAACTCAACATTAATATCAACGTTTAAAATTTGAATTTTTCACCTATTTATCAATTAGTCTGCTGATAACATTTATTGAAAAAAGATAAGTATTTATCTTACGACTATGAAGTTAGCAATTTCTAATTAGATACAAAAAGGATATAAACCGCTAGAAGGCGCTTCTTAGATCAAAAAATATGTTTTATTATACAGAGCTTTTGACAAAGTTTTGTAGGGTGTTCACTTAAAAATTATATTATAAATAAAAGCTTATAAAATTTCCAATCGTATGGCATAAGTCAAAAATGGTACTCGAGTGTCCAAGTAACCCGTATGAGAGAAATTCCTGGGCAATATCTGGGGTCCTAAACAATACATATTCTCCGACCGGTGCTCGGTTTTTAGTACTTTTGAAAAAGTTCCGAAACGAGTCCAGGCAATAATTATATACCAAATTCAAGATTATAAAATTTCCTAAGTTATTTAGGTCATGTATCTTTTTTTTAATCATTTGAAATTTACAATAGAAAAAAGATTTACTAGTGTTTGACGAACATAAATCATTATCTAATGATTTTAACTTATCAGCTATTAGCAAGTTTAAGCTGTTAATTGTTATTTTTTCGGTTAATAGGATCGATAATATCATTTAATAACCAATCCCCTTTAACCATAATTTATTATATAGAAAGCCTAATTTTAAATTCACAATAAAAAATCATTCCCGACAAATATGCAGGTGACGAATAATCCTTATCTTAATCACTTACTCTAGTACTACTTTAACGACAAGAGACGCTTCTGAGAAACGTTTCAGATAAATATATATCACCAATGGAAATGTGACCGACGATTCTAATAATGTTTCCGGTAGCGTTTCTATTTTAGACAATTGAATGCAAAATATTTGAAGTTACTCACTGTTACTATAATTAAACGCTCAGGATTGTGCAAAGATCACGACTTTAGATGCAATCGCATGACAAAATAGTTTTTATCGTCTTTCGACATGCTAATATTATAATTTTTTATTATTATATAATTCTTCTAATACTAATGGCTATAACTACCGTTAATATTAGTTATTACTAGAGGTCGGATTTTTATGATTTTACATATTTGTTTCTAGTCTATGTAGTTAAATGGGAGTGAGAAATCTTTACGATTCATGAAACACAGAATTTACAAGAAAAAATGTATTTTGCATAAAAAAGCATATTTTAGGGGTTAGAGAATATTTAACACATTAGAGAATATTTGAGAATATTTTTGTAATATCGGCATATAATGAACATATTTGACGCATATCAGCACTTTAATAAATACAATGTTCACTAAATGGTTTATTTCTGGGTTTCTGGGTTTTAATAAAAATTAATCTCCAGGTATTCCTTATCGATTGCGATAGCACATCGTTTATTTCGTAAGCTGTCACGACTATTCGTCGTCTACTAGTCGTGCGATATATTATTGCTTATATATTGTCTTTCCATTCGTCTCATATTACTTAAGTTATAGTAATTGTATTTTATAGACTATAAATTATAGTCTATAACATACAAATATGCCAAAAACTTCAAGTAGTTTAAAAAGTTTATTTGCTCAGTGGATTTCGTCGTACAATAACCAACAAACGATTTTCACGACAAATGGTGCAACAATTTTTTGTCAAGTTTGTGACAGAAATATTCCTTGCACAAAAAAATCACAGGTAACACAACATGTACATACGGCTGTCCATAAAAATGGTTTAAAACGTAAATTAAATACTTCATCAAAACAATTATTTTTATCAGAAGCTACTCTCAATGAAAACAACTTAAATGATTTTAACAAACACTTGTGTCTAGCCTTAGTAGCAGCTAATATTCCTTGGTATAAAATGCAAGTTCCTCAATTACGTACATTTTTAGAGAAATACACTGGCAAACATATACCAGATGAAAGTGCGTTACGTAAAAATTATCTCGAGCCATGCTACCATAATACTTTAACGAAAATTAAAACTGAAATTGGTGAAAATAATATTTGGTTTGCTGTAGATGAAACTACAGATACAAACGGTCGTTACGTTGCAAATTTACTGGTGGGAATATTAAAATCAAATACTCCGACTCGCCCATTTCTCCTGACATGCAAAGTTTTGGAAAAAACTAATCATTCCACTGTTGCTCGGTTTATCAATGATGGACTAAAATTATTATGGCCGTTGGGTGGAAATGACGAAAAAGTGTTGGTAATGTTATCGGATGCAGCTCCATACATGACAAAAACCGGTGATACACTAAAAGTTTTCTACCCAAATTTAATTCACGTTACGTGTGTAGCTCACATGATGAACAGGGTTGCAGAGAAGGTCAGAGAAATGTTTCCAAATGTTAATAAATTAATCAGTAATCTAAAAAAAGTATTTTTAAAAGCGCCATATCATGTCCAGGTGTACAAAGAAATATTGCCTAATGTGCCATTACCCCCAGAACCCGTTTTAACTAGATGGGGAACTTGGCTGAAAGCCGCAGTATTTAATTGCGATAATTTTGAGTGTTTGAAAAAGGTTATAGACAAATTAAGTGAATAAAAGTCGTCAGTCAGTATTCAAAAATTCAAAAATATATTACACCTACAGTCTGTAAAAAATGATTTGATTTTTATTAAAACTAATTTTCTTCAAATTGTTACAACTATCAAAAGTTTGGAAAAATCAAATACTCCCTTGGTTGATATAATAAATATTATTGAAAACACTTTTACACAACTTGAACAGATACCAGGAGAAAAAGGAGAAGTAGTAAAAACAAAAATATTGCAACTTCAACAAAAAAACAAAGGATACAAATTTTTAAAAAATATTGGACAAGTTCTTAGTGGAAATAACACAGTACAACTTCCGGAAAATTATTCACCGATTATGGTAGCCGACTTGCAATATTCTCCAGTAACATCGGTTGATGTCGAACGATCTTTCAGCATCTACAAAAATATTCTTACAAACCGGCGTACTAAAATGACACCGGAACACATTGAACAATATATAGTAATTAATTGTTATTGTAAAATTAATTAAATTAAATATATTTAAAACCAAATTAATAAAAAATAAATTGAAATTGAATTTTTTTTTAATATTCAAAGAATATTTTGCTTACTTAAGGACATAAAACATCATATATTTGGTATTTTAAAAGAATATTAAGAGAATATATTGCCTATTTTATGTGACATAAAAACATCATATTTTAAGGATTTTGAGAGAATATAAATCCGACCTCTAGTCATAA